CCAATAATACTCATATACCAGCCGCTGTACGTTCATGCAGTTTTCATACAAACAAAAAAAGGTATGGACAGTCATTCCAAACTTCGACCATACATCATTAAGTATATGTATTTTTCGCCAGTCAAATGCTAGCTGTTTTGTTTTAACAAAGTTATCAGTTGTTTAGGCTTAATAAACAATGTTATTATTTGTTTCTTATCTATCAATCTTCGGATGATAAAATCAAGTCAAACAAAAAATATATATGTGGGATATACGCCAATAAGACAGCAACTCAATCCTAGACATAACCGAAGTGCATCTAAAGAATTATCCGATGTATACTTTGCACTTAACTGAGCTTTAGACATAATCTTCTTCAGTCTTTATGGAAAGTTTTTCCCTACCTCTTTATAAGAAAATAAAGACTAAAATAGTTATGACATTGAATCATCATACATACTAGAATCAAGATAATTAATCACTGTACTGAAAATGGATTTGAAATTGCCTGTGTCCTTTTAACCATGGGTTTAATATATTCAAAAGTAAACGTACTTTTATCTTCTAATATATTATCTAAATGCTTATCTAAAGAATCTTCATTTCCATTACACATTTACATAATATTTGTTTCGATTAAGGTGGTACCTAACACTACAGGGAGATAACTCTGTAAAAATCAGCTAAACGTTTTAATTACGTTGTATTGGTAAGGAAATATTAAGCTTCTCAATGATCAAAACTAGTGTTTGTCAAACTGCTATATAACCAATGAATTTTTTCTGATAAAGTGGTTGGTTCAAATTTTTTGAAATTTTTATATTTTTGTCAAAGGGTCAACGTAAACATTTTGTCAAAATTTTATGAAAATTAAACGAGCCAAATTAATATTAGTCAAGGTGTTGGGTACCACCTTAAACAGCGTTCAATATCATCTGTTTTGCATAAGATTGAATATATTGTTTGTTTTCCTTTTTTTCCCTTAGACTTATTTTGGTTCGTGATAAACTATGGGATCTCAATAGAGTAATTTAGCCTTTATTTTGATTTAATTTCCTATTACTCTCATACATTTAAATGAAAGAAGTACATACATTTATACTTTTTAATGGATTTTTTTTAACCTTAAGCAAACCTTATTAACCCATGCATGTTATTGAAACAATTGCCAACTTCCGGATTTCTGAGACGCAATTTCCGTTTTATATTATGACAAATCTTATTCAAAACACGCTGCAAGTGTCCAAAGAAAACAAATAAGATAGCAGTGAATAGAAAATAAGTTAAGCATTACAGAGGAATATGTTAAACGTCAAACAATTGTCGGTGTTAGATAGATGTTCTTTGTGTCAATAATGATTGATGTCTAAAGATACGCCAGTAAATTTTATCTCTTTTTAGAAAATATTGCAATAACGTGTTTCCTTTTTCAATTTGTTCAAACTTTTTTTCAGAAAAAAAGACTTTTATTAGGAATTACGTACTTATTATTTAACAGAAATCTGTTAGTGTGCAATGTTATCAACCACTGTTAAATACGGCATAAGAATATGTAATTATTTGGTCTTCCATTTTTATGATTATGATATATACTGGGAATACATATTTTACCCTAACCCTGAGTTGTTTTTATCTGACCAGATTGAACACTAAATAATTATTCCGTGAATGAAAAACTCAATACACTGCTGAGGAGCCTCGGTGGCCGGGTGGTCTTAGTAGTCGAACTACGGAATCACTAGCCTGATGTTGTGAGTTCGAATCCAGCACGTGGCAGGTGGACTCGAATTCAATCTTAATTGAATAGGATTGTCAGTGTTCCTACCGAAAGTCGGTGGTTCTCTCCGGACGCTTCGGCTTTCTCTATTAATACAAACTGACCGCCACGAAGGTCAATCAATCACATGGTTAACACAATCGGACATGGGGAAAACGGCTAGGTATTTGTCAATGAATATGGTTGTTTTGTCTTTCATACACTTACCATAATATAATGTCGCTTGACAAAAAAAATGGGAATAAAAGTATTCAAATTCAAGTTTAGAGGTTCATTCCGAATTCGAGAGGAAGATGTTGCACCAAAATAATTATGGGAATTTAGATGAAAATGCTGTTTCAAAACTTCTGAAAAGTGAAAAAAGCCTGAATAAAACTAGATGGGTTGCCAGTGAGTATCCTCTTGGTCTTTTCCATATTGTGTTTTTCTTAACATTCTGTCATACATGAAAATGAAAAACATCAGTACGAGTGATGTCAGATCAAATTTATTCGTTGAAGTCTGAAAATGGAAATAGGATTTACAGTATGTTTGTCGACCGGCAGTATTGAAGGACAGTGGACTATTGTACTTTTTAATTTGTTGGTTATGTTAGTCATCTTTTTTTAAACGGAATAAGTTCATATAATGACAATTTCTCTAGTTTAGATATTTTAAAACTGATGTCAAGAGGTGATAAGAAGACCAGCATCTTAAAAGACGCTTCTTAGTTGAAATTTTACAACATTGATTTCCATCAAAGATTGATCTAAAGCTATTTTTAAAATATATATCTTGTCTTTAAGTATAATAAAAACAAGGGGATGTGTTATGATTGCAAATGTGATACAAGAGACACAAGGACAAGAATGTAAACAACTGATTAAGGTAGATTCATGGTATACCGCCATCTTGGATTGTACAATCGCAGTACAAAATCGGTCTAGTTATTTGCCCAAATCTGCAAATTTGGAGACAGATTTTCAATTTAATGGTTAGACTGTTTATTTATATAAAGAAAACTTGGTGATTTATTGTATTATTCAAAATATTTAAACAAATATCAATTTTTTTTGTTTTTAGAATCATTTTTTAAATGAGCTATTTCAGGGGAAATAACTCTTTTAGTAAAAAATTTATACTGGACTAATAGGGAAATTTTTTATTTTTACTTGTAGCAAGAAAACAAGTTCGGTGACACTATTTTTTCTTTTTATTTTCTTAAAACATATTATAAAACCTATCTTCTCACAATTTATTTCAAAATTCTATCTCATAGAATTTTTTATATGCACACAAATGTGTTTTTTCATGAACAATCTAACCAAATTTAAGCAATTTTCAACGATTCATAGCTTGCAAAATAGCACGGTGACCCATACTTTTTATTATATTTTTGAAAAAAGCATAGTAAAATCTTCATTTTGGCAAATTATAAGAAAATTCTGTCTCAAAAAATATATACTTATGATCTACCTTAAATACATTCTGGACTTGCAAAATGGGGCAGGGTTATAGGAGCACAAGCGATTTTGACAGCGAGATATTAAAGGTTTTATATAATCGTAATGAAAGTTGAGACGACAAGGTTTGATACCATGAGAATACATGGAGAACAAAACTCTACATACTAACAATTAAAACTATTTATTTTTACATTTCACCGGTTTATTTCAATACAATCTGCTGTTAATTTTGTGATAATGTGATGGCATAGATTGTATATTTGATCTGATTCAATGATCAAATATTATTTGTAATGCACAAAAATTTTAACTTTTTTGTCTATTTAGAAGCTTATCAAATGAAATAGCTTTTTGGTAGAATAGGCCAGGAGTTTATTTATAAAATACAAATCTTATATGACAGATATTTTCTATATAAAAGTTTGGAAAGCTTAATGAGACCACAAGGAAATAGCTTCCTTTGTAGCTGTAACTTTTATATTTTATAACTTCTTCAGTTTAATCATATTTGTAATCTGACAAATACTTGGCTTAGAACTAGCTTTACCTTTCAGTAGCCGTGTATACTCTTAGATCCTTACTTTCTTTTTGTTAGTTGTTTTTATGTTTGTTTCGATCTGATGATTCAAGCCTGACTTTTAAAGTTTGTTTTTACGTTGTGCTATTACATCATTGCCCGAGGTTAAGGAAAGGGTTGAGCACTCGAAAACATGTTTAATACCGCCAAATTTAAATTTTTGTATCTGTCCAAAGTCAGCAATCTGTAATCCAGTGATTGTCGTTGGCTGGTGTCTATCATATTTTTTTTCGTTTATTACATTTTGTAATGTCGGGGCCTTTTATAGCTTACTATACGGTATTGGTTTTGTTCATTGTTGAAGCCCGTAGTGTGTCCTATAGTTGCTTACATCGACATGATTTGATTTATGGTGGATACGTTACAATCATTCAACATCTTCTTATATCAATTACGAAAGCATCAACAAACAATCGCTTATTGAACCTCATACCCATAACTCTTTTATGCCTTTTTCAAAAGTGAGAAAAATAAATATAAACAAATTTGAAGAAAAGTCGATCAAAAACACAAAAACAATCACCAAACTGAAAAGTAATTGATTGCGCAATTACTTCTAGCTTCCAAAACGTTGATTTTGGATATGTTCCATAGATTTGGTTTTGGTAATATAACATCCTTTCACAACTTCTCCTTGTATCACTTAGTTATTTTCATCACCGATAAAATTGTCCATTGAACACCGGCTACGATGTTTTTTCATAGACATAGTCATCCATATGGTATTTATGTGCACTCGTGGACTTTTGAATATATTTTCTTTACAGATGGTTCAGCGATATGATATGTTCCACATCCACTTGACCTCACTCCATTTGAATTAAATTGTAGGGGAAGCAAACACGTCTAATTTGTATCCATGATTATCCTTTTAGTACTTGTGATGTAATTTGATTAAAGTTCGTTATTTGACCATCATATATCAACATACATATCAAACAAACCGTCAGTACATCATTGTTATGAAAATTTATTGCTTGCTGACATAAGCAGCTTCTGCATTCTATTGTGTAGTTGTTGGATACACGTATCTTTTTTAAAGGTCAACATGTGATTTATTCTGCTATAAAATTCCAACATATTTTATCTAGCATCCTTGAAAATATCAGGTTTCAATAAGTGTTTTCAAATTTCAAATCAAAAGAAAAGTGAAGAAATTGTAAATAACCATAAATATCTGTATAAAAGCAGTTGTCGGGTGTACGTTATTAAGACACAGCAAACGAACACAAAAAAAAAGAAATGACGTCTGAGCCGAAATTAATTTTATTATAAAGTAACAAAGAAACTATATATTTGGATTCACGCAACGAGTTAAACTGTTAAAAAAAATCTAAATTAAATTATTTATCTACAAAAGTCTCATGCAATGAACGCTAGTAAGATATTTGCATTAATTCTATTCAAATAATAAAACTCATATAGATAGTACACAACATGTTTGGTTCGATGTAACTCAATACCTGTCGTTTTGCAAAAAAGGTTGATGGATTCAAGAATATGTACATGATGATTTAGAAATTAATGGAGACAGTAATGTTATCAAAGTTGAAATTTCCAAATCATTCTGACAATTTCTAAGGTACAATACTGTTTGTTCATTTCCTTAGATATCAGACAGACTTTCTATCATAAAAGTAAAAGTCTTAGTTTTACATCTTTTTACAAAAGTTAACGGACTTAGTGATAATAATGTTAATATATCCTAAAATAAACTTGTATTTTTAACACCATTGTTATACAAATCGGAATAATATGTTTTTAAACACAATAACACCGTTTATGAATAGCTTGCAATCATTACATTGTATTTTATGACAACGATAGCATTCGATTTTGACTGATTGCAATATCAAATGTATGAGAACATCTTATAGTTCTTGCTTTGGTTGCTTCTTTAACTTATACTTTTATCAAATAATGTTGACCTAGCATGTATACTGACATAATAGAAAAACAAGGGATATGAGGTACCCATCCATGAAACAAAAAATCAGTAAATACGAAATCATGCATACTGATATGTTCATTATTTAGGAATTGAATATCAAACACTATTAAATATGACACATTTATCATCATTTGACGTTTGGCACATCGTTTGTCTACAACTTATGCAAGTTAAAGTCATGCAGTGACCAGTATTTGTTCATTAATGTATATTAGGATGAAAATGCTAGGACAGTAAGAGTTAAACATCTTTGCCTAGTTCTATTTTAGCTTTTGAACTTCGACTGAATGCCTTCTCTAAAGCAATAAATGGTCTTTCGAAAAATATGGAAATCACGGAGGCTCCAATGATGGTGACCACAAAATATCCAACTATAAGGAAAGCCTGTAAAACAAAACAAATCAATAACTATCAATGCACTGTTAAAATACTGTATGATAATAATAAATGATAAAATAATATAACTTTAGACAAAATGAGAAATTTGTATTCCATCCTATCGTATTACATTTTACTGTCTTATATTACATTGTACAGTCTTGAAGTCGTCAAATATGTAATATAGTTTCTAAATAAGCAACGAATCTGGTTAATACTAATAGAGGGCATTTGTAATACTAGTTCTTTATTTTAAGCAATTAATAAAAAATGGTAATACAAATACAACAAATATAAATAAACAGAGATTTCGTGAATTGCTCACAAATCTAAACCAACCCTTCATGGTTAAGTAGAGTATTAACTTCAAATGAAACAAGAGGTGCTGTGAATGATGACCTTAAATGGCATGGCATGTACTTCATGTACTTCATATCAATCTACATGAGTTAAATCACCTACTGCACAACATGTCATACCAAGACTTTTTTTTTATTAAAACCGGAAGCCCATTTTTTCATGTTATAAAATCAAAATCACAAGTTAATTGAATATAAAAGAATCATGCGTGCATTGTCTGATTCATTTTACTTATTTCACTTATTTTTGAATAAAACTTTATTTCCTAAAAAGAGACCCAATGTAAATTTCAACCTGCTTTGACGGCAAATTCAAATTCTAAATTCGCGCTAGATCAAGAACACTGTATAAAAGCATGTAAACTTTGATATTTGTGAATTGTGGTTTTTTAAAAGGATTCACTAGTACTTAACAGTAGATCTTGAAATTTGGACCATTCTGACTCGAACATGCCCCTTTGACTTATACATTTGTACTTAATTTTTCATTAGGACCACACCTACACTAAGTACTTTCTTGAGATAATTGAGCATGGTTTTGTTTTTATTTCTTTTTCCCTATTCCTGGAAATTATGCAAAAACGTATAACTCATTGCTCTTCCATTTAAACCTTTGCCGGTGATCATTCTAGGTTGGTACCAGAATTTTGTTTTGTTGTGTTTGTGTTGCTCACTCTGTACTTTTTTAACTAGTGTTTTGTAGATTTTTGTCTGTCTTTTCGTAGTTTTTGTGGGTTTTTTTTCATGATTTTGTCGTCTCTCTTCTACATTTGAGTTTTGATTTTCCCTTTGATACATGTATCTTCCATATTCTTTTAGAAGATATATATTATCAAACTGACTCCTTTGTTTGGTTCATTGGCATCACTAAGTACCTTTAAAATTACATTCCTGCTTGGTTTGAAATCTTACTTCTTCGTTTGCTTTGAAAATATCAGGATTTAGTATCCCATTTGATGTAAGTGTAACATTTCACCTTCCTTGGCAGCAGTTATAAATTTTTCATCAGCATTGACAGTAACCACAACTATTGCGACTAAGTTTAGTCAAGCAATGCGTACGTCAATTTAATTTGAAAACAAAATTAAAATCACATTTTCCATAATAATGATAATAATAACAATAATAATATTGTTGATAATAATAAAAGTAATAATATTAATAATAATAATAAATTCTCTATATAAAGAGGATAAATAAATTACTTACATTACAGATAGGGTTTTTATGTAAGCTGAGATCTCTCCTAACATCAATTTCAAATTTCCTTGCTTAAGGCGTCGAGAGGAATACTTTGTCTAATCTGATCCTTAATCGACACTTGTTTATTAGAACTCATTCTTAAAGTCTAACCAATAAGAGACCAAATGCACAAAGTCTGTCATGTTTGTTAACAATTCGATAGAGAAAGAAAAATTATTTGCATTTACCTTGTTGTAAAGACCATTTTTGTAAGATCAGTATTATTCGTTTCGGTGGTTCTTAAGATGAAAATCAAAATGCGAAATATTAAAAAAAAAACAATAATTCATTTTTATCACATGGCCTTTGTTTTTTTTTATCACATGGCCTTCGTTTTTTTTATTACATGACCTTGGTTTATTTATTAATATCTTCTTACCATATCAAGATCGTCTACATATACTAAGCTCTTTCTTGACATAATGTATACGGCTATTACAACTGGGTTCAGTAAGTATATGGTATATGATAATTTTGATAATGGAATAAATCCTCTCCATGATAACATTGTATTAATCAATCCTGAAAAATATACAAAAAACGGGTTATTTTAGATGATATTAGGAAATAATACAAAAACTGTCCATGGTTATACTGCATTCGACAATCCTAAAAACAAATCAAGAACGGTACATTATAAATAGTTTTGAAAAGTTACAAGATAAGACAGTATGCAAAAGATAGACGACATAGCATTAATAGGAATGTCCTTACTTCAAGTCTCTTGTATGCTTTGTAAATAATATAGAAAACGGAACAAATAAAACAAAGATATCATCACAAAAAAATGAGGAGTTTACTTAATCAAAATCATAAAACTGCCTAGGAATGTAACTGGGTGTTATAAAACTACACATTATATTATATATCTATTCACGCAATATTTCGCTAAACAAACTAGCTTCATAAGACGTTCATCCGTCCTTGTAATAAATCGGGAGCAGATATAAAACTTTTGCAGCTTATCCTAACGTAAAAGCAGTCATTGTTTAATTTCTCAAAACTATCATTGGAATGCAGTGCTAAGATGAGGAGTGTGTACATATATTGTATATCTAACGACATGTATATCGTAATCAAGAGCAGTATACTACAGTTGTGTTACCAGAAGTTAAGATATCATATTTATGCAAAAGATAGACGACATAGCATTAATAGGAAAGTCATTACTTCAAGTCTCTTGTATGCTTTGTAAATAATATAGAAAACGGAATAAATAAAACAAAGATTTCATCACAAAAAAATGAGTAGTTTACTTAATCAAAATCATAAAACTGCCTAGGAATGTAACTGAGTGTTATAAAACTACATGTTATATTTTATATCGATTCACGCAATATTTCGTTGAACAAACTAGCTTCATAAGACGTTCATCCGTCCTTGTAATAAATCGGGAGCAGATATAAAACTTTTGCAGCTTATCCCAACGTAAAAGCAGTCATTGTTTAATTTCTCAAAACTGTCATTAGAATGCAGTGCTCAGATGAGGAGTGTGTACATATATTGTATATCTAACTACATGTATATCGTAATCAAAAGCAGTATACTACAGTTGTATTACCAGAAGTTAAGATATCATATTTATGCAAATCACATAGAGCTCTCAAAGTTAAGGGGAATACAAATGAGGCAACAGTAGTTTACCCATGTTCATGCAAATCTCATAAATACGTCAGGTAATTATTTATCAGTTTTAACAGTGGCTCCTTAAAAGTATGTACAAATGTAACTAGTATGAGGGTCTGGACGGGGGTCCTTCATTTCTTTATTTCGTCATTGTATTGACCATTTTTCTTTAATTTTTATTCATTTTGCCCATAATTCTGTATTATTTATCTTTTTGGTCCATTTTCCTGTCGATTTAAACAATTGTTCTCTATTCTATTCAACCCATCCAGGCCGTCTCGTATATAAATACGATAGAACAGTCAACTCAGAACTAAATATATTGTACCTGTGTGCCTCATACCTTGACCTGTAATCATAATAGTATCTACAATTTACATTTGTAACTTACCTCCCCTGTAATGATGACATGAATAAATCGCCCATGCAATACAGCAGGCCCATGCAAGATGGCTAAGTGATTCATAAGCTGCTTGTTCGGGGAATGTCCACTTTGGTGCATTTTCCATGTATCTTAGATATGATACATATAAGATAAACATTCCTAACAAAATGGAAACAATCCAACCAATCACAGCTACCAACTACCAAGAAAAAAAGACTTCATTCAATGTTAAGTCATTACCCAAATATGTAAAAATATCAAATTAGAAAATGCGGTATAAGACAACTATACATCAAATGAAGCGGATGTAATAAAGGTCACCGTAGAGCCTTCAACGACAATTATCGTGAAACTATTCAAACGAAAAAAACCAACGGCCTGATGTATAACGCATTATAGATTTTGTTAGTCGAGTATTGCCTTTCCTCGTCGGCTTTATCTAGGGTTGCAACACAGTACATGATATATAGTGGGATGTAGATGGTGTACCTTGCAGATCAGCTCTACTTGCCACTATACATCATATACTTTGTTACAACTCTAGATAAAACCGACGAAAAAAGGCAATCCTCGACTAACGAAAGCTATATTTGTTTTATAGTCTTGTTGGTCGATTGATCTAGGCTACTGGACACATCGTTAATCGTTAAATGTGTTTTCCTTGCGATTACAAAATAATGTTGGTTGATCTGGTTTAACTTTGTTATCATTTTGCAATAGGTGTTTAGTACATTATTGTTTATGTTCCAGACCAAATGAGTATTCAGGCAATACGCGTACTGTCATAGCTAGCCATAATCTTATACTCATATAGTTATTAACGAGCCGGACCATATGAGTACATGTATTTAGACCATATAGGTATTTTAAGAATAAATCATAACTTTTTTCGCAGAAACATCAGCTCTTTCTCCGAACCATATATAAGTAATATAAGTCAGTCAGGATTCTACTTCGTCAAAATTATCTTCCCATTACGCAAGTTCATTTTTACAATCGTAAAAATGGAAGCCATTGTACGGATGACGCGCTTTTAATTTAGCTCTTGAAAACCGATAAATTTATCCACATAGCACCATTACGATCCTTGTATGCCAGGTGTATTTTAAAAGACAAATGTATCTACTAGCTAATGAGCATCAGTTAATGTACTTGTCTGCATTCAGTCAACTTAAAACTATTGTTTGATCGGTTGTCAGGTGGAATTTTCGGAAATCATAAACATTTAAAAAAATTCTAATTAAATATTTCGTGGAAGGGCAGACTAAAAATTTTCAGTGGTTGAAGACTATAAACCCTAATTATCACACACAAAAAAATGAAGTTTTTTCGAAGATATGCATTTTTAAGATCCAACTTAAAAGTAAGTCGTCAAGTACTTATAGTAAAAATTTGCTATTCGAACACACCTACACTATTTTTGTGATTCATTAGAAAGGTATTTCACTTGACCCATATATTTAATTTTTTAGTACTGTGAACTTTCGATGTTATAAAGTCAACCTGTAGCCTTGATATATAAAAATAATAGAATCTGAAGCGAGATGATGTATCAAATACTCTTGCTTTGTACGTTTTCAAGACAAAATATTTAACTCAAACACGCCCTAACATAAAAAGGTGCACTCGATTTTATCTTTTCGATGCAATTATTACCCATTTTTTTGAATTTTTTCTTGAGTTACATAATGGAAGGGCAGAAACGAAAATTAAGGAACAAATAGATTGATATGATCTCCGTCCGTGGTAAAAAAAATAAAAATCGGAGGTTATGCATTTATTAGATCCAACTGAATAGACACCCATGTCGTCGACTTGATATCTAATTTTTCTATTTAATTATGTAATAGATAAATTGAAAACTTATGCAAATTGTGTTTTTATGATAAAATACTTCGAAATTAAGCCGAAAACTGTCATTTTATTTGTTTCTATTAACTTTTAAAAATTTTGTTACTATAGTAAACATTACAGTAAGCATTTATCGCCTTCTCTAACAAAGAGCTTCGATTCTTTTGTTCTATTTAATCTGGGTTTCCGCCTGTAAGTTACTTACTCAGGCGGAAACCCGGTTGAAATAGTTCGAATAGCAAATTTTTACTAAAAGTACTTGACGACAGTCTTTTAAGTTGGATGGTAAAAATGCGTATCTTCGAAAAAACATAATTTTTTGTGTGTGATAATTAGGATTTATAGTCTTCAACCACTGAAAATGTTTAGTCTGCCCTTCCACGAAATATTTAATTAGAATTTTTTTACATGTTTATGAATTTTCGAAAATTCCACCTGACAACCGATCAGACAATAGTTTTAAGTTGACTCAATGCAGACAAGATCATTAACTGATGCTCAATAGCTAGAAGATAGATTTGTCTTTTAAAATACAACTGAAATATAAGGATCGTAATGGTGCTATGTGGATAAATTTATCGGTTTTCAAGAGCTAAATTGGCAGCGCGTCATCCCTACAATGGCTTCCATTTCTACGATTGTAAAAATGAACTGGCGTAATGGGGAGATAATTTTGACGAAGTAGAATCCTGACTGTACTGAAATTCGTTTTCTTTGACATTTTGTACGAATCTTAGTGTATCTTGTTATCTTGCCTTCGCTAGTGTCATTTAAAGAGTCTTTGTCATATTAACCTTTTCGTCCGTAAGTGAAATTACAGGCGTTTAGGGCATATATTATATAACCCGGTGTTTAGATTTCTTTTTATTTCTTTTTATTTCAATTTTTTTTTGCTTAATTGTTGTGTACTTGTTCCTTTTCATAAGATCTTTAAATATCAGTAAGAAATACGTGATCCGCTTTAATATTATTTTTCACATGAGAATAGAGGGACAACACATATCATCGAAACTGTTTTTGTAAGATCGTATGAAAAGAAGGAACACACTTAATAACGAAAAATGATACAAATTTAAACACCAAAAAAAGAATAAAAAAATGAATGTTCAATGCTCCAAGTGACTGTGAGTAAAATAGTTGACATTTTGTTTAACGGTTCATTTGGATATTTCTTAAAGTTGTATTTCAAAGGCGACATATTGTGTTTCTTATGGTAAAATCTACAATGCATGACCATGTAAAATTGTGACAGAGCATTTAGTAAAGGGTTGTAACAGTATTCAGTGTCAGTTATTTCTGCTTCTTACCGACCCATGTCACTTTTTTGCGTTCACATTATTTCACTAATAGATTCAAATATAAAATAGTGTCATGTGAAGTTAGACTTGTAATGTAATAATATAAACATTTTACTATTGACCATTCATGATCATTAAATATACAAACCACATCAAGTTTTGCTCGTCGTTTGATGAACATAACATACGCCAACATAACACCCACACAGTAAGTCCCTACACGGCACCATGGAGCGGTAAATATATAATTCCAATAGTTCCCGTTATCTGTTACAGCACTACAGTTAGTTAAAACAGTATTTGATTATTGAAAAACATATAACAATATAATAGGACAATTTAACATAGCAGTCAAATATGGGATTCGGAAACAAGTTTGAGAAAACTTCAATAAATCCGTCTGCCAGTAAATTTGAATGAATAATTGATGCTTGAACAAGGTTAATTTCGACAACCTAGGCACAAGTACTGTTTTGAAATTGGATATATTGCATTTATCGTGCTAACTATAAAATAAGATCAAAGTGCTGTAAAAGCCCCCTCCTAAACTAATGAATTCTTTTCTTTTGCATTAACCATAATATCTTTGTGTAAATTCGATACACCCAAACAGTGTACATGTATCTCAAACGTAAAATACTGTGAAAAAAAACCATTACTATATGGTGCTTATATGTAATTTTTTCAGACCTTTTATTTATAATCTGAATAAAAACTTATTATATCAAGAACATTATTTCAAAAAATTTGTATAAAAAAAATTTATAGGAAAAAATGACGAATTTAATCGCATTTCGATTTAAAAAAAACAACTGCTACTTTACTTCCGGTGAACCTGAAATCACCGATAGTCTATTTCTTTTCCAAATAGAATAGCGCTCTATTAAGTATACTTATAAGAAAAAGACAAAATAAATCAACATGAATAAATAAGATATAGAATGTATATACCTAAGAATATCTCCACCGTATCTATGTTCCTTCACACCAGTCGCAGTTATCCCCCCTGTCATAAGTAGGATTGCTACGATAAATCCAAGCCGGTGAGATCTGTTATAAAGTAAAAAGAACAACCAATACTTAAAAAAATATTATAGCTTCATAAAATTAATTACACAAATGATATATTTTTGCATAAATGCATCGTTTGTTGCTGTACATCATATTTGTTTTGTACATAAATCAGGCGGTTAGTTTTCTCGTTTGCATTGTTTTACATTGATTATTTTGTGGCCTTAATAGCTGACTATGCGTTATGGGTTTTGTTCATTGTGTACAGTGACCTATAGCTGTTTACTTCTACATCATTTGGTCTCTGCTGCAGAGTTATCTCATTGGCAATCATACCACATCTTCATATTTTTTATACATAAAGGAATGTTTATTTAAACAAAATGAACCAAAAAGATATTGCTTACATACAATAAAAAGATGTTGTTTAAGGTCGTTTCCATTGAATTAAGCATCATACAATGATGTTAATGAGGCCTTACATAATTCATTTGTCCTTGTTGATTCTATTTTTTTTTTAAATTGTACAAACATTGAGACAAAAAAAAAAGAATTTATAAATATGCATATAATGATGCTGAGATTGAAATTGAATATTTGTTTTCTACTGTAGCATGAAATTAGCATCATGAGTAAATAATGAAGACATTTATCCAAACGTTTGTATCAACTGATTTATAAACCACAATAGTTTTAAATAGAGCATGATACTTCAGTACAATTGCACTACATGTCTGTATATAATAATTCCCTAAAATATAAACTGAAACTTACATGAGGAATAACACGATGAGGATAGGTGTTATAATATTTAGTTGCATTACAACAGCATTAAACCAAGACCATGGCATGCACTGTAATGACAGAAAATGAAATGTTAGTTGGTAAATAACATGTCATTATACCATTATTGACTATCATAAGTAAAAGAAATAATATAGACAATTAACCAAAATAAATGTCCTAATAATGGTTAGACTTATTTTCTAAGGGGAATAGTTATGATCACACATAACTTGAACATTGCCGTCAACTCTTATACATATGTTTCATTATTTGTTTCATCACTGTGCATTGAATTATCTAAACAGGATTTGCTTATTCGTCCGGAGCACCTGTCTTTGGTGGGTTAGTGTTGCTCTGTCTTTAGTTTTATTAGTTGTGTTCTGTGTTACTGTACTGTTGTTTTGTCGTATCGTCGTGTTTTTGCCATGACATTGTCAGTTTGTTTTCGACTTATGAGTTTGAATATCTCTATTTGGTATCTTTCACCACTCTTTTAATGGACAAAAATGTAGATGTATGTATATATATATTTCACCTTTGTTGATCTTCGTTTTATTGTTGTTACTACTGTCATGACGCTCAACGAACTCATTCATACTAGTGTAGTTTTAAACTTTTATATGAATTATTCTCGTTTTATTCTCACGATATTTGTGTGGTTGAAACAGAAGACGATGCACACACATACCTGTTGGAAAATTGTGTGTCCATCAACATCAACTAGATTATTAACATATAGTAAATGATACCACCAACGTTGTCTGCAACTGTCAGCAAGACCTATATGTTTTGGCCATGTAGGACCATCACCAATATATGCATATAAAAACGCATAACTCATCAAAATTATCATATAGACGGGTGTTAATCTGAAAACAAAGCCGTTTTGATTTTACATTAAGTACAATATTGATATCAATATGAATAAAAAAAATCATGAATCGAAAAACCTAATATTTTCAATCTGAATAGGGAATAAAATTGAGAATGGAAATGGGGAATGTGTCAAAGAGACAACAACCCGACCAAAGAGCAGAACACAGCCGAAGGCCACCAATGGGTCTTCAACGCAGCGAGAAAACCCCACACCCGGAGGACGGGCTTCAAAAGGGCCGCTAAACAAAATGTGTACTAGTTCAATGAAAATGGACATCACACTAAACTCCGAAACATATAAATGAACTAAAATTAAAAAAACATACAAGATTAACAAAGACCAGAGGCTCATCGATCCTGACTCAGGACAGGCGCAAAAATGCGGCGGGGTTAAACATGTTTAGTGAGATCTCAACCCTCCTCCTATACCTCTAGCAAATGTAGAATAAACAAACACACAGCTATACGCACAGTAAAACTCAGTTTGAAAGAAGTCCGAGTCCGATGTCAGAATAGGTATCAAAAAGAAACTAGGCAAAATGACAATGATACATAAATTAACAAGGACTACTAGCAGTTACTGACATGTCAGCTCCAGACCTCAATTAAACTGATTGAAAGATTATGTCTCCCGTTAGGAGGGATTGTTCTTGATTTTCTGGGGTTCGTTTTGCTCAGTCTAAAGTTTTATATTCGTGTCTGTGAACTCGTTCAATACATGCCATAATATAAGACTTAAAAATGTTTGTGTGTGTGTGGATTGAGGTAACAAATTTCCGAAAGTGAAAAGCAAAAAAACTTTCCTATGTTCAAATAGTCCAGAAGTTAGTCAGTTTTGCTCAGGCTCCTTCATGTCTTCATCATATGAAAATCAAGCACAATCCCTCCCGTTAGGGGTTTACATGTAGTACCATACCATCATAAAATATACGAGAAGAACATAACCCGTTATATGCCAACAACTGGTTTTATAATAAATGTGTTTATTTCCGATGCAAAGACCATATGAGTGAATCAATATTTATACCAAAATATGAGATCTATAATGATCTGACAACAGTATCGTAACTATATCCCTTCTGAATAAGTCCATTTAAAGGTTTGGTTAGCTTTTGAGGTGAATGTTGACATTTTTGTGCTTTGTATAGAATATTACTATAAAAAATTGAATGTGAAATACCTGAACGTATAAGATGTCTGCATGTTGATTTATATTTACGAATGATGTCCTTGTACCGATGATAAAATTTAGTAAATGTTTTGACTAGTTTGTGACATCGAAAATTCTGGTGTAATAATTTTTCAGTAATACAGAGATTTTTTCGTTAAAATCAAATACGTTGTTACATACACGAGCGAATCGAACAAGTTAAGATAAATAAACACCATAAGATGGTGACAAGGGAACGTCACCATCTAAAAATGGATAATTAACAATAGGAAATGAAAAATCATCTCTTTTATCATAAATTTTGGTATTAAGCTTTCCGTTAAAGATATAGATATCAAGATCCAGGAAAGGGCAGTGTTCATTGTTAATATTAGCTTTATTTAAAGTCAGTTCAGCAGGATAAATTTAGTGTACATACTGAAGTCGTCATTATTGACAGCCAATATATCATCCAAATATATAAAAGTGTTAATAAATTTTTGCATCAGATGTTGTTTCGATGGGTCTTTGCTGATGTTAGTCATAAATTGTAACGCATAACAATACAGAAACAGGTCCGCAATAAGTGGTGCACAGTTAGTCCCCATTGGAATTACGATAACTTGACGATATACAGAATCTCCATAGCGAACAAAAATGTAACCTAGTAAAAATTCAAGTGCAGTTATCGTATCAAAGCAGGTCCATCTAATATAGTTTTTTTGTTTGTTGTTACTAAAAAATGACATAAAAGAGTTTGAACATATATATTCGTATTCTGAATTTTTAAATGCCCATTTAATTAAGTGTGTGATTTTTTTCTTAATAAGATTATGAGGCAAAGTGGTATATAGGGTAGAAAAATCCAAACTTTGAACATATTCGAAATCACCAATATAAGCATGCAATTTATCAAGTACTTTCAACGAATTTTTGACACTCCAAAAGTACTTAATTCCACTTTTTTTAAAGGCCTTACTTGAACCATGCATTACCAGGTTTTTGATTGTACCAAGTGTACTAGTAAGTAAAATAGACTGTTTAGTAGTGGAACAATGGCTTGAAGACGAAATAAATCTATATTTGTAAGGTGTTTTGTGTGCAGCTTCGGACGAATGTAAGGATTTTTTGTCAGCTCTTTCTCGTTTTATCCATTTCGAGCAGTAAGTACGGAGTGAGTCGTAGTTGATGTTACGACACTCATTCCAATTAATAATTGACGGGGGACAATATTTAGGTCCTTTACTCAGGAATGATTTCAACTCTCGGTCTCCTGTTATAACATGGGAACTGGGGCCATAAATGTATTTGGAATTACTGCAACTTCATGACGTAGGTGCATTGTCACTGATATTAACTTGCTATAATTAAACACATATTTCCGAGTAGATTTTTTGTAAACATAACAAATAAGAGGGAGTTCAGTATTATCAAAATATCCAGTAATTTGTTCTTTAACAGAATGATCATTATAAATACCGGCAATATTTACAAAATCAAAACCTTTATTTATGTCTGTTTGTCTTTTTATTTTTTAGCCATGGCGTTGTCAGTTTATTTTCAATCTATGAGTTTGACTGTCCTCTGGTATCTTTCGCCCCTCTTTTATTGACATATTTGAGTTTAATAAAATGTTTGTTTTACGATCTTCAGGGCGATCAATTTTGGGAAATAGTTTAGAATAACAATATGCAATTATAATTTGGACGATTTCATACTTAGGACTACAATATGGAATTGTGTTGCAATCCTCTAAAATTTGATGTAATTTATTAACAGGTAAAGAATAGAGCTGGATTAACAGATAATGTCTGCCGTTGTTTTTTGAAATAGTAATTAGGTCCGAAATATTTGTATTGTTGGTACGACATTTTCTCTGATAGCGATTTAGTTTAAGATTACGATTTCTGTTCCTCGATTCATTAATGAAACCCGGCACACATCATTATAAATGCTTTCTTCAGATAACGTAATTGTTGAGTTTGGTGGAATGATAAGATAATAACAGTCGTTTATCAATTAAATAATTATGCACACCTGTTGTTTATTCCCATTGTACTCACGTGAAGCAATGTACAAACCATTCATGAAAACAAAAAGAACTTTTAGAAAAATCCTCAATTTTCACATTCAGATATATTGATGATGTCGTTTCGTCCGCTCGATAATCCCTTTTCCAGTTAGTTAGGTACTTACATTTTGTTTATCCCTGTGAGTTTTAAATTAAAGAAACTACATAAACGAGTACAAAGTCTGGTTTATTTGAAATTGATTAGTAGGAAAACTAAATACTAGCGATATTTTCAGTTTTCTATTTCAAATTTTTCTTCCGCAGGTAGATACTTAACGTTTATTTCTGTCTTTCGCCTTATCCATTTAACCGCTATACGACGTTTTTAAAATGAATTTTATTCAGCATTACAATGATTCAGGTGCATTTGTTTTTGTCGTTGGGTTTCTGTCTCCTTGGCGTATTTCCTACATTTCCTTTTATTCAAATTGAAAAGTGTTAAGAAGACAACTGCTGGAATATCAATGCGCGATTTTTATAGGTCTACAGTTTGCCCGGTGTATAATCTTTAAATCAAATACCTGATGTATCTTCGAAGGTAGAAACCAAGGATTCCAGTAATCTTCATTTTTTCATCTTTGACCATTGTTGATAATAGTTTGTTTGTTACAATAAAACCGCTGTAAACATATAGATTTTTTATCCAATGAAGTTAAGTGCAATAGAAATATTATGATAGACTACAAATAAAGGTACACGAAAGCAGAACTGTTTCATGTGATATTTAAATGATTCATATTAAACAAATACGAATGTTAACATATTCATTTTATTACTTAGACACATATGTTTACCTCAAGACCAGAATATTATAAAGATGTACATTGTAAAATATCAAGCCAGTTTATACCGAGATTTGGGTAGACTGATCTTTGTCACAATTAAATACTGCGAAAAAAGTTATATTACCCTTGTTTGCAAATAGTCCGAGATTATTTTTATTAGAAGTATGAGGACGACTGGGAACGCTGGAAGTCAGCATTTATATTTATTTCTGCATTAACCTTTGTTAGCTACGCCCAAGTCTAATGGTTTAGAGAGACATCTACACACAAATAACAGGGGCATAACAAACACAAACAGGCTTTACCTAGAATAACAGAATAGCCAATACCATCTACTTTAACAAGTCAATTGATTGAAAAAAAAATGTTTTCTAATTACTTTCAATTTAAAAGTAAATCCATACTGTCCTCACTAAAGTGGCGACTGGTTGGCGGTGATACTTACAGAATGAATTGCCTTTACTAATCAGCAATACATATAATGAAATCCCTCTTTATATTGGCGTTTACTAAATCAAAACCTCGATCATCAGATATATCTTATAATTTTGAGCACATGACTAGTATTTCGTCTACATAAGACCCATCAGTGACGCTTTTCTTTTTTTTTTAACCAACGCTAACAGCAAATACTTAATTGTGTTTCTAACTAACTCACCTGACCACAAAAAATGTGTCCGTAGCAAATACTCCTGAGTAAACAAACTGGAAGGTAAATCTTTTTAACAAGCTAACAGCTGGCATTTGGTTTGCTAAAAAAGATAAACAATGATATAATGGAAAATATTACCACAAACTGGAAAAAAAAACACAAATAAAAAATATCAGTGTTTTAGTGACGAATATAACTGTAGCATATAACATAAATTAACGAACTAATAACAAACTGTTTTTGTTGTTGTAAATTTCAAAATTTGCGGACGTAAAAGCTGTCCCCCGTACTTACAAATAACAGAACCGTCTGTCTCGGCCACTCGAGGCCATATGGCATTATATAGGTAGGCATTTCCAATACATATCCATAAAGCTGTTAGGAATCGAATACCATAAAGACATGATATCTCATCCGGATCTCTATCAAATGATGCCAATGTCCTCACATTGGTAAAAATTGAAAATGATCCTAATATCCGACGTCCAATACCTGAAAGTACATCAAAAAGACAACTTTTTAAAGAATTCCTTTATCATACTTAATCTTTTTACTGTGTCCTTTCGAAATTATCTGCTTGCTAATGCAATGCTGAATTTGGAGATCTTTTACGTATGACATAAATACTAAAGTCAAAATAGGACTTAATTTTTATTGCATTTATATTCTCAACAGTAAAAACAATGGGAGCATTTATTACATTTTCGACAGTGACACTGGTAAATCTTCCAAAAATTTCTAATAGGTCAATCAAGATCGAAGTAATGCATTACAATCCACATAGGTTTTGTTTTGTGTCGATTAAATTTCTTAGTGTCTATCTATGTTTCGATACGAGTGTATTGTTCGTTGTCGAATGGGTATTATTCACCATTAAAACTGTTTATTTCAAATACCTCACCTACTTCATCATCTTCAAGGTCAGATACTTTGTGTTTTTGTTCGTTTTCCTCTAATGACCTTTTAAAAGAACCATTTTTCAGTTCACCTGGCATCAAATTTAAAGCTGTTCCGTTTTCACCAACGAATGAGGGGTTTGTATACATATTTTTGCTGTTCCGTTTCTCTTCCGTTTTTTCTGATAACTTTCCATAACATTCATGTATAACTGTTGCTAACACCACGATTCCACCGATAACAATCATGATAGTTCTAAAATATCAAAGGATTTAGAAGCATAAGGAATAACTCACTCTTAATTTCATTTTTGTATGCATTAATTTAATATGTATTTACAAATTGAATTTTTCTGGAATTAAAACAAATTAATAAAAGCTAACATGCAACACAATAATTACAAAAATAGAAAGTTTGAATATCTTGTTCAAAACATGCATTTATATATATCATTTAAAACTCACATAGATCACAAATTTCTAAAGGTTGAAGAAGGGCTTCGAACATATCAAACAATCGAATAAATTGTAAAAGATATATGTTTGATTCAAAAAGTAAAATAACAAAAATACCAAAACCCAAGAAATATTCAAAATGGAACATCCCTTAACAAATGCAAAATCAAAAGCTCAAACAAATCGAATGGAAGACAACTGTCATATTTCTGACTTTAGAACATGCATTTCCTTGTGTACAAAATGGTGGATTAAACCTAGTTTTATAGCTAGCTAAACCTCTCACTTGTATGAATGTCTTGAAGGGTTGTCATTGACCAATAAAATAAATGAAAAATACTTCAGATAATATATAAATAAAAGAGGATTGATAACATAGTTCAATGAGACAGCAACCCAACCATTCAAAATCCAAAAGCGATAAAGAGGTTGACAAACGGTAAGGGTTAAAGCGGCTTTTGATATATCAGCCAGACAAAATGTCACCTCAATCTTTGGTATAACAAAATAACCTACACTTATAAATCTCTAAAATACTAATTAAATAGGAGAGAAACAGAGAAACGTACAAAAACAATGATAATACCGTATAATTCAAATCAAATCAAATATATTTTATTGTCAATTAAAGATGCCCATTACAGGCAGAATAATCAAGTTAAATTTAGTACCTAAAATGATTACAATGATTACAGTGATTTGAATACAATTAAATCTATGAATAAGATTGCAGTCTTCGAAAGCAGGTGCAAAGTATTTTTAACCTGCTCATATAAAATCATGCCGCCGTATTAATTTTTATGATCGGCATTATTTCTGTACTTCAGAGTATCTTTCATACAGCAGCGTCATACGCAGTTCAATGATTGGTTAATGTGTACTTTTTGTAAGTTACAAAAGGCTTATCTAACACCTACAAAGCCTTTATTCGCTCCGTTCACAGTAAATGCCGCTATCAACATAAATTGTGTCACGACATGTGAAAACGAGTTCATTAACACTAATCAGAGGAGTAGACATATATTTGTAGGTGAACATGGTATTTGCTTGTCTCTAGGTATCTTCGCCCATGTTTTACTGGATCCAAAAAATATAACAAAAATACCGAACTCCCCGGTAAATTCAAACAGGGATTCAGTCCATAACAACTGACAAACTCAAGCGATATCAACCAACGGAAGGAGTGAAAAACAACTGTTAAATGCCTGACTTGGTACAGGTATTTTCCAAAGAAAATAGTGGGTTAAAACTGGTTTTATAGCTAGCTAAAGCTCCGACTTGTATGACTTTTGTTTAGAGTTCCGTTATATTGACAAAATTGGGTGAGCAACCTCAATAGACATAATAGGTAAATGTGACAATACTTGGGATCCAGCAGCCAAAACTTTGTAAACATACATCACAGACATACAACACAACTGACAATAAAAATTGATTTAGATGTAACACGGCATTAGTAAGCGATTGTTTTGTGCAATTAAAGAATCTAATACATGTTATTGTTGAATCATAAAGTCTTACAAAATTGAGATTGCTGCAGTGTCCGTTGAGAAGTCAGGTTTTTCACCGCTACAAACAACACTATCTGGAGTTAAATTGAACATCTGAAGCATTCCTATAAAATATTTGCATTGTTGTTATGAATAGAATTTCAAATTACAGTTGTAACGCATTTATTTTATTTTCAAATTTTACTATCAAATAAACTTACAAATATATATCAGATTTTTTCAAAAATAAAAAAAAGGTGAATAAAAAAAAACTCCTTGTTTAAAATGTACGTACGTGTAAGCTGTGTTTATTGTTGTGTTCCAACGAAATGGTTAATGTTTCATTTGCCCGAGGAATACTTAATGATTACAGATATGCTATGCATAATGTTCTTTCTCGTCTATTTTATCCAGTTTCATGTAAAATACGACAACAAGAAGGAAGTAAGTTCCTTTATATACAAATGTATTAAATCAAAAATATTACTCAATTATATGTAAACATACCTAGCCTAAATAATACAGGTATATCTGCAGAATGGCATTGGGAATCGACACACATACCCCAAGTTAAAGCTACAGGTACACCAAATGTTTCCTATAATATAACAGAACACTTATAAATGACAATATGTATAACGAAAGCCCGGAAGGATCATGCACTCGCAATTCGAATTTCGAAATTCGCGATTAAATATCTGAAGTTTCAAATTCGATATTCGAAATTCGAAATTCAATATCTGAATTTTGAAATTCGAGATTAGAAATTCAAAATCATATACTGAATCGAGAATTTTCAATTTCGGATCTCCAATGATCCTTTCAGACTTTTTACTCTATATAAATGTACTATTTATTGCACATTGGTGAAATTGTTAATGCTAATTATCTTCGGAATAAATATCTAAGGAAACAAATATGCCTTAGAATAGAGAATGGAAACGGGGAATATGTCAAAGGGACAACAACCCAATCAAAGTGCAGCCACCAATGGGTCGTCAACGCAGCAAGAAAATTAGTATTCAGTTGCCATTTATAATATAGTTTACAACTTATCCAAGAATATGAGTCTTTTGACCTGTCGTTATACTGTTACATTATCATAATTTTCGAGTGCCAAGGTTTGTGACGACGACATCAACATAAAAACAAAACGTTTTGTTTCATTTTGATGGCCTCTCCTTATAGACCTTTTGAAAAAAATTATAATCATCTTAGTCTGTTGAAGTTCAATCGTTGTGTCTTGTATTTTTTGGATGATAAGGAATTCGTCGTCGTCATCCGTTAACTTTTACAAAAATCTTCTCTTCTTAAACAACTGAACCAAATTTAACCAAACTTGGCCACAATCATCATTAGAGTATTTAGTTCAAAAAATGTGTCCGATGACCCTGTTTGTCAAATAAGATGGCCGACATGGCTTAATATAGAACAGAGTGGTGAAATGCAAGTTTTGTCTTTTATTTTGAAAACCGTTATAAATAGAGAAAATGAGCAAAAATGTTCAAAATGTTGAGTTCTACCAATTGTCTTTCTACGTCAAAATTGTCAGACGACTTTTTATAGGAGTTATTGCCTTTAAATGACAAATTTTGCCTTTTTTTTTCATTTTTGCCTATTATCCTGAAAACTATAATAGTTAGAGAGAAACTTCTAAATGCAAAAATGATCAGCAAGACAAATTCTACAAATAATACCCATGGTCGAAATCGTCAGTCGACTCCTTATTAAAGTTATTGCCCTTTGATGACGATTTTTACTAATTGTTTGCGTTTTTGCCTTATATCTTAAAAATTATAATAGATCATAGATATAAACTTTAATCAGCAAAAATTATCAGAAAGACAAGATCTACAATAAGCAATATGGAGAAAATCGTCCGGCGACTCCCTATTGGAGTTATGGCCCTTTAATGACTATTTTTACCATTTTTGTTTGGCGTTTTACCTTTTATGATAAAAATTATAATAGATAAATAAACACTTTAAAACACAAAAATGTTCAGCTAGGCAAGATCTACTAACAAGTCAAATTTTGCCGATATAGTTAGTAGACTCTCACTCTTTATAGGAGTGATTGTCCTTAGACGAGGATTTGTTTTACCCTCTTTTGTGTTTTGAGTAAAAACTTAAGAAGATAGAGAGAAACTAAAGACACTAAATGATCAGAAATACAAGATCAACAAAACAGATTTTTTTCATGAATTCGATTCTCGTCTACAATGTTTGAGTGTGTCCTATATTGAATAGGCACATAGACCAAGGTGAGCGTCACAGGCTTTTTGGAGCCTCTTGTTGTTGTGTTATCCTTTTGTTTTAGTTACGTAAATTATGTAAGAACTTAGTCCTTTGTTCTTTCATGTGACCTCCATTAAACCTAATTGAGATTAAAAGATGGGGTAATATATTTTGAAAGTAAAAGGTTTATGATCACTGGTATGTAAGAATTATGATGTTAATTCATTATGTAACTCACAATATGTCCCATTGTCTGGTTTATAAGTTTTTCCGGCAGTTTGAATGTGGCTCTGCAGTATCTTGTGGCAGGTGCTGATGGTATTTGATTTACTCCTAAACATTCGTCGTATGAACCAATAAAATGTAGGTTGCCGTCTAATGTACCTGTTGGTGGCTTTCCAAAAGCATCAAACACTAAAACAAAATTATGAAGACATATACAGACTTTAGTCATATATACTTTTCTAATTAATAATGTTCCATAATTATGATTATAATCATTTTTTCTGATTATTACATTTTATTAAACAATACAATGTGTACTTACTTTTAATGGCTGATTTATTTCCATGTAATAGATTTTCAACAAAATCAATGAAACCAGTATGACATTTTTGCGTTGACGTCAGTGTGGCATCTGCTGGAAGGGAAAGAATGTCATTTAGACTGAATGATGAAAGTAAAATCTTTCCAATGTCAAGAACTATTTGTGGTGATTTTAATAATGTAGAAACCAAAAATCCACTGATATGCGGCTGTGCAAGTATTCCAGTTAATATTTTTCTCATATTTAATTTTTCAAGATATCCTTGAACAAAACTTTTCGGATCCCGTACATCCATGTCTGCCAAATTTACACGGTTCATTTCAGTTATAAGTATTTTCAAACCGTTTGCTAGATCAGTCTTTGTAACCTGTTCTAGTATTTGCATGACTACAGGAATCATATATGTTGCAACTTCCGGTTTTAGGCCAGACTGCAACGACAGTGGTAATGCTATTTCCGTTGCAATTCTTCGTATCAGATGAACTGTGTCTAGCCCAGATAGCAACTCATTAATGTACACGTCATCATTTGTTTGGTTAAAACTTGACGTATTTACAGTGTTTACTTCAGACACAATTATGTCGACAGCATTCTGAAATAATTTGCTATCGAGAAAATCAGGAATGTGCTCTAATGCCCAAGGTACAAGATGCTGCCTAATTTCAGGTTTTAGATGCGATACCGGAATTAGAATAGGCAGAGCTGATAAAAGAATATCTTCAATTTGAACAAACAACTGCACATTATGAGACAAAAACCACGTTACTACGGATATCTTTTGTTGTACTGGAAGACTTTTAACTGTTGCAGACACCAAGGCTTTCCATGTTGGTTTAGAAAGCATATCGGGGAGAATATTCTGCAGAAAAAGGTTTTGTAAAGAATTAAGAATAAAGCTACTTGTATAATTATCTCTTTCTAATTTCGCAATATCAGCTTTATTCAATTCTTCTATTAGTGCTTGCACTAGTTTCCCTCCGTTCTGTTTTAGTAAATCTGCCAGTTCATTGATTAACTGCGGGATGATACTTGCCGACACGGACGGATTCATACCCACGCTGGCAGACAAAGGAACAGCAACTTCTGACGCGATCTTTCCAATAATTTCCCACCAGTCCATCTGACTGAAAACACCATTCATGAACTCGTATTCGTTCGAAATGTTTAACCCGGTTATATTAACCTGATTAATTTTCGTCACGAAAAAATGGAAGCTTGTCTTGAACATTTCACTCTGTAAGAGTTTTGGGATTGTACCAAGCCCCCATGCAAGTAAGACAGGAAAAATTTCATCTCGAATAGTCGGGGGTTCACTTAGTAAAGGGACTGCCGATATAAGGATGCGTTCTAATTTCTGAAACATCGCTGAGTGATTTGTTATATAATGAAAAAGTCTTTCTTTTATGTTGCGACTTGTATTCGTTCGGAGGAATGCGATTAAAGGCAGTTCAAGGGTAAAAGTAGTATTGGACACAACCTGAGTTGGTGTAGCATTTAACTTTGTTGTATGTTGTGCCATTGATCCTGCGTCAAACTTATTAAATTCCTTTATTAAACCCGGTAGTAACGAAGGCAGATAAGTCTTAATGAGAGCTTCTCCCTTTGTGAGAAATGTTGGTATAACTTCCTTAACAATGTTCTTATCGACTCCGTGTTGTATCAGCCAAGGCTGAACAATTTTTATTCCTATTTTGCGAATTATAGAAAACCAGTCCATCTGTGCAAATATTCCATTCATAATTGTAAATTCGTTTGTCAGATTTACAATAGATAGATTAGCTTTGTTCATTTCTCCAATAATAATATGCAAACTGTCCTTAAATGTTTGATTCTGCAATAAAAATGGTAGTTCATCTAATGTCCATTCTATAAGATTAGGTAATATCTCAGGCTCAAACGTAGGTTCCTCATGAAATAGTTCATAACCGGCAATGAAAACATTTTCAAGTTTATCGAATAATAATGGCTTTCCTATAAAATCGAGTATAAACCCCGCCTTTTGCTCTATAGTCAAGGTACTGAGTAAACCAACAATGTCGACATTTCCTAGATCCAACTGACTCTTGCAGGGATGGACACTTAACATACACAGAATGGTGACAATCGGTAAAACAGACTTCATTGTGAAAATTGTAATTCTTCAACAGTCGCCTGTAAAAAAAAATATTTCGCATTAATATTCAAATAACCTCATACATTATATATTCATTTGAATTAATTTATTTACTCGCTGTCAAAAGATATTCAAAACATTCGAATCTTCAATAATTTTAAAAACGCTATACATTCTAAAATTCCGCGGATGCGTTGGATAGAACAAATTAAATCAACAAATGAAGAAAAAATTAAAAAAAACTATATATAGATAAATAAATAAATAAATAAATAAATAAATATATAAATAAATGAATAAATTATTAAATAAATATGTAAATGAATAAATACATCGAGAAATCAATTAATTAATTAACGAATAAATTCTTAACACATCACAAAATAAATGTTTACGGTCCATTTAACCAATCTGTTCTGTGTGCACGTTGACAACATTCGTATGGTTGTTTTCGAAGAATATTTTCAAGGTTATGCACTTAACGCACAACCACATCTTATGATGGTCTGTATTAGTTGCTTTAGATAATTCATTTCGATAAATAACTTTATCAATAGGTTCAAGGTAAGACTATGCATTTGCACCGACCTTGAATATAACAAATAGCCTTCTATGAAGTGGGGTCCTTTATAAAATAGAAATACAAAATTCAAGTATAAATTAAATACTAAAATAATTATATTTCAGCTTGAGATTAGCGAATATGTATTGATAAAATAAACATAAAGTAAACAGTAAACATTTGACAATAATAGTAACAGCCTTTATAATTATTTTTTAAGGACTTTTAAATTAGTATTGTCATCCACGAAAATTCACAAACAGCTATTATGGATTTTCCTACTTTTCTCTTTAATAATTTTCTGATAAGTATTGATCATCTTTCGAAAAATATTGGGAATTGATATAACCCAGATCAGTTTCTGAACTTACAAGCCTCAATCGACACTACAAATTCTTTAACAAATATCATCTTTCCCATTGTACCAAGAATTTGTCCTGATCATGAATAATAGCCAATGAACGTTTCAACTTTCATTAATCGATCAATTCAGTTCTCTGATTATATTTTGAATTAAAACAGATAGAATATTTACAAATTTAAAAATGCCTCGGAAACTATCTCTTTGTATGTTTTTTTTTTATGAAAACAGTATACAGTGACCTAACGTCAGATAAAAACACCATTATTTGCAAAGCCTTTAACATGTAACGATTAAAACTAATAACAACAAAGTAAACAGTAAAGTGGAAATAGGATGGATAGATTTGGTTTTAACGTCCAGTGACAAATATAATATGCTTATTCGAGAACTAGTTGATGGCTATTTACCGTGTTATTGTACTACAGAACAACACGCGAATTAATTCAAATGTGCTAGTTCACAAGGTAACAGTCCAAAGAAAGACTAAATACTAAAGACTCATTGGCAATCATACCACATCTTCTTATTTTTATAATAACTCTACCAGGACACAGAAGTAAGACCAGTTTTGCTCTAATTCCTAAATGCCGTGTGTCTAGTGGTAAAACAAAAATTTTCAAGACTTTGGTTTTGCCCGGCAGGGGATCGGCTATATAAAAAGAAATAGTATGTAGCCTTTACACACATTGTTTGAAAAAAGGGTCAGAAAGATTTGATTCCATTTTGGATAAGTACAGATGAATTTAGGTGGATGCAGCTCAGAGGTCCGGTCGGATATTTTTGTATTTTTTCACTTAGCACGGACAAAGGAGCTTTTGTCGAACAGATATAATTTAAAGTAATAATATGCTAAGTAACAATATTCTAGAGAATTGTACATGCCTATACATGAAACATGTTAAACATTAAGATTGTATTCGTTGTATAGTTAACTTCCAGGTACAGGGATAAACTACACGGGTGTCATTCGGTTTATCGAGAGAAATTATCGTGAAAGAATACCTAACGGTGGTCAAGTATTACGATTGGATCGTGAAAGCTCTGGTATAGGATGGTGAATTCAATATTATCGAGAAGATATATGCAAGGTCAATTACTAATCTAGTATGATGAATTGTACGGACAAATTTACAAAAAAATAAAACTGTCTGTGAAAATGGTTCAACATAATGATAAGTATCTGAGAAAATCAAGGTTTAAAATTCCGTTCTTACAAAACTACAAAAGGCAGATTGCTCCTCGACATTTCAATGACATTAAAAATGTAAACAAACAAGATTTTTTTCATAATTCGAATGACTAAACAACTTTTTGATGAAAAATGTCCTACCATTTTAATGATTCAAATGGTTCTTACAGTTATTTTGAGTTAGCATAATCAGAAATTTTGTAAAAATGGAAATATTTACAAAACGTTGATTTTTTTATCGTGAAAGATCGTGTACCGCTTTTTGAAGATCGTGAAAAGGATCGTGAAAGATCTGATGCTACGAAAACGTTCAACTCATCATTTAATTATATGGTAATTTCTATTTTTAATTGGTATAGTAAATATTGGATTTGCTTGACTCATTCAGTTTCTCTTTTGTTGGCGTATAGGGCTATAATCGTTCAATGCCATTGGATTTGATTACGGTATCTTATACATGTAATAACAAACCGACTTGGTGCCTTATAGCAAAATCAGTTCTATTTTCCGTCCTTCATAAGTTTTGATTTCTTACACAAATTTAAAATTGAGAATAGAACCTATTTGGGTTCATTACAGTTTGAGCTGGGCATCATGCACAATCGATCGCGAGGTACGTTGATTGGTAATTTCCCCACTAAGTTGGTACAATGACGTATAGCTATTGTGAACAGACTGATCAAACAATCGAATATAAATAACGTTATCTTGGTACCTTTTTCGTTTATGTCAGCGCAGCCACGAAATAAACAATAAATTAGCAAATATTGTCATACGATGTACGGCACGCATGAACGATACTCCTTATAACTGAAGGTAACATCCCTTACACACAAAAAAAACCTCAAAAAACAAAAAAAAAAAACCGTTCACATGCATATACTAGTATGTTCAAGGGGATGCATTACATATTACAGATACATATATAAAATTTACGCTCAAGAAGGTCCTTTTATCTTGGAGATCTACTTATCTAGACACGTTTGAAGTTATTTTAATAACATTGAAGGAAAAGTATTGAATAAAAAAAAGTGAAAAAAATATATATATGTTTATTCTGAAAAAAACCTTTGTTGATACAATGGTATACAGAAACACAAAGACATACATAATAATATTATAAGACATATGATGAGGTAACAGCATATAGAAACTTCTTATAGAGAAGAAAAGAATGCGTAGTTTTGAAGGTTACATTTTATCAGAGAAAATTCATATTTTTTATTTCTGATTCTAATGAACTTACACAACTTTTGAAGTTTGAATTGTTTTGAAAAATTCCTAACTGCTTTAAACTTTAAAGTGTTAATGTTGGTACAGTATTTTTTTTATCTCTACATTCTTTCCTTAAAAATATGTACATTTCAAAATATAGCGAAATTGATTTCCAATTTCATTTCTATTACACAAGTTACATGTTCGATTTTCTCTGGGTTTGTCCATCTATACCAGATTCAATTGGAAGCTTGTGATTTACGGTTCTGAATCTACAAAGAGTGAAAACGTCTTTATCGTCTAGCTTGTCACATGAAATAATGAAAGCATTATTGTCCATTCTTATTAAAATAATTACACGCTTCAACTAGTTACAGGTATATCAATAGGTAAACGAAACATAATGATTGTTTTCTGATTATTAAGTCCTGTCCGGTTGCGGGACGTTTGCGCTTTTTGATCGGACATTTGCAATTTTTTAATGAACATTTGCGCTTAAAAGTTTTGGACATTTGCACTTTAAAAAAAAGGAAATTTGCACTTTCTCAACATAACATAAAAAAGCATTTATGATATAAAAAAAACACAAAACATTCATGATACATTTATATACATTTAAAAGCATCAACCTTTCCCCATCATTCTTGTGTCAGATGAAAACGACAACACTCCAAGAGAGTTGCTGGGAGTAAATTCCT